CTCTAGTGCATACACAATCCGGTGGAAGCTTCATATTGACTTCTTATGAGGTGGTACCCTTCTAACGGGCTTATCGTAGAGTGGTTATAGAATATGGCTACTTTACTATCTCTCTTGTACCTCTGATATTTTTTAGTAATCCTGCAATATTCTCAATCACGAGGTCTATAATTTTCTGGGTCCAGTAATCAAATTCCTAATTTACTTTATTGATATAACTATTTAGTTTCCTTCTCCTTTTGATCAGCCTTTATGTTTAAGCTATCTTCTGATCTGCGGCTCATGGTGTTACTTTAGGCTTTCATGGACGCTATACAATATCCATGATACCATCATCTAACAATTCAATCCTTTGTCCATGACCTGAACTTAATTCTTTCTTTTAACTTACGCCAGAGTCTTCTACGGCTGTACGATTGCCAACATATATGCTGCATGGATAATTCTCTGAAATCTTGAGTGCATTCATAACGTAACTAACTCTGGATCATTGATCGAATAATTTCTTCCATTCCTTCTCAGCTTTATTTAAATTTAAGCAATTATTTCCCTGGTCGTTCTGCCACTTGTTGCATGAATACTTGGCTTATCTTAGTTCCCTCACATATTGAAATTCCATACGACCCATATGACCTTGAATATCACCCTTTGATTTTGATTTTTTTTCCCGTTCATGAACCACGATAGGTGCCACTTTCTTATGGAGTGCATACAACGTTGTTGTGAGACTGTTGTTGTAAGACCATTTCCTCTTTAGGTCACTGTGCTTAGCTTGAAGCCTTCTTTCTTATTTCCTCAGCTAGTCTTTCATTGTAGTACTTAGGGAGGATCCGCTGACTCTTGTAAAGCTGCAAGCTTATTATATTGCATACTCGACGGAATTTTTGATGTCATTCTTCGCCTACAACTACCCGTAGTTACTTACCTCCATGCCTTTGTGCTTGTAGGGTTGCTTCTAAACTGATATTTTGACTGTCTTCCCATTGGCACTCTCTTTTATTCCCGTAACATTCATACGGTACCTTTAACTACCCCGACTCCTATCCGAATATATGTCAAGTATTATAATGACATTACTACGAGGCTGAATTCTCCATGTTAGGGTTCACTGTATTTATCTTGCGTATCTACTGATTTTTCTATAACCTCTTGTCTAGTCATGACTAGGCTCTTCCTGAATCAACTACTAACTACTCGTCGACCCATCCTCATATTCATATTTCGCGTAATCTCTCTTGGGTTATTTCCTTTGTCTAACTTACCTCTTGCACTGGCTCCTTATTTATCAATAACCTCCCGGACAGGAACCCTTACTTCCTTTTTTTTTTGACGTCGTGCTTACATAACGTTCTGGAATCATAGCATATCTGTAACATCTGGGTAGGTGCAATCTCATCCCTTTCTCATTTTTATCGTATTCTTCCTTTATCATTCCATATTCCCCCCTTTAGGGGGTACTAAGACTTGGAGCTATGACGACCTGCCTACAGATATTTTTCCTCTTCATCTTTGGCGTCCTTTCTCATTATCAATGACCCTTACTCGCCTTGCGATAATCCTTCTAGACCAAGGATAACAAAATCCCTCACTCGCGATGGTGACACTTAGTGTAACTGGCACATACAATCTCTTAAGCTTAACTTTACTCACCTTGCGTGCTTTAGGGAAGCGTCTCCTTGAATGACCATTCTCTGAATTCATCATAGATCTTCTTCTGTTGTCCATAATATTATTGCCGGAATGCAATCTGAAGTTCTCATGATGCTGACTATTATCAAATCAGTCAGTTCCTTGCTCATGTTTAGTTTATCTTATTCACCAGTCCATACTGATTTCTATTACTATAGGGTCTAACTTTTCCTTTTATTAATCACGTTAGAGTCGTGAACTTATTTCTCGAAATAAGGATGTGACTGTATGGCCTATACTCTTTTGTTGTCTTAAGGTCCATCACCTTTCATCTCTTTCTTCATTTGACTATAGGTTCTGTAACACTCTTCCGTTATCATCCATGTATCACACCTTATTCATATTACTTTCTTATCTCTCTTCTCATTACTCTGCTATTATTTCTGCATATCCCTTTTCTTGTGAAAACTTCAACACGACATTCTTTCGCTTTTAGCTCTCCTTACTTCATTTATCGGCTCTTCGGGTTTCTCAACGTCCTCGTTGTACTAGGGACGAGAGTCACACTAAGGTAATATTTATCCCTTCCAGGGTTTTAGTGCTTATCTTTGTACTACTCATATCTAGTTGTAATATTTTAGAGTGCACCATTTGGGTGTCTCATAAAGAGATCTATTAGCACATTTGCAATATCCTTCGGAAATGTCAAATGACGCAAACAATTCATCCATCATATCTTCTTATACTACTTCTGTTAACCCCCATAGGGCATATCTGGAATAGGTGCGACCAATTGTATATACCTCTGTTACTATTGAATATAACTCAAAAAGCTTATATTCCTCTGCCTGAATTATAAACAATGTTAACCTTCATTAACTGGGCGCCTCGTACTCTTCTTCATCTTGCTTCTTTTGCTTGTTGAAACTTGTATTTATCTTCTGAATCTCTCCTTGTCTCTCACCATTAAGGTGGATAGGTATTCTTGCCTTAAGGGCTCTTATCAGGAAGCTTACACCTTTCAGTACACCCCATGATCTTCCAAAGACCTCACATTTACTTATCGTAGGGATCATACAAAAATCCAATTCCTCTGACTCAGCTCTTCCACAACTATCTCTCTTTCAAACCTTCTTTCCGGATGTAGGTATCGTTTTATTAGAATAAAAATAGAATTTCGAAATTTGAATTCTTATAAGTGAGCTCTACCACACGATCTACAGTAAGAAGAAAGAGTGACAATCCTAAATGCCCTGTAGCCTCCTGCTTATAAGCGTGGTGCACGACACACCCACAAACAAGACTTTACTAGACACGACTTGTAGACTCCCTAGGACAGAACTGCTCTGATACCACTTTTGTCATGCCTCGAACTTGGGGGGCGAGACCGGTGCCCAGTGCCTCACCTATCCTTGCGTACCAACTTGCAACTAAGGGACTCTGAACATAAGATGTCATACTTTGTCCATTGGCCACATTGCAAGACGACTGCTAATGCTGACTAAATGTCAATATAAAACTGGATCGGCAAGGCCGTCATAATTATTATAGCTGACAAACTAACCAAATATACATACAAGGCTTGAAAGCCCAACATACTGCACTAACTGACAAGATATGTCTACAAGCCTCTACTGATGGATATACTGTGATCGGAACAGCTCTCCGACCTACTCATGACATATATACGTATATATACAAGATGTACATAAGACTCTAGACCCGAAAACTCCGAAAGTCATGGAGCTTACCGATCGAGCTGAACTCGGGCAACACTTAATGAGGAGGCCTACCCGTCTACTGTCTGAACCTGCACGCATGAAATGCAGCACCCCCAGAAAAGGGACGTCAGTACGAAATAATGTACCGAGTATGTAAGGCAATATACTGAAAGGTGAAATTGAACTGATAATATAATAACTGCAAATAGCTGGAAGTCAAAGATAATCTGAAGATATACTTACCTGCTGATACTGACTCAACTTTCTCAATATAGTAAGTAAAAATGTTGTCCGGCCCTATAAGGCGCGGTATATATATATAACTGCTCTGCCGTAGTAGGCTCGCTCATAGGCGCTCGGCCATACTAGGCTCTGTATCTCGACCAACTGGACTCTCTCATAGGCGCTCGACCACAGTAGGCTCGGTATATAACTTACCATCTGATCAGAGGTTGCCAATAGGGGCCTGCCCATCGATTATAGCTCGATGGTAATGAAAATACTTTTAATACTGTATATATGTAAATTGTCTGGTCTCTTGACTGGAAGAAGAAAATACTCAATAGAATATGAAGTCCCAATAAGGAGAATATTATAACTTACAAAACTAGGAAAATATACGTAATTTGCGAAACTAGCAAAATATACGTAAATTCCGGAATATGAATTTTTCTTTACGACTCGTTATCAAACTTGTGTAATTACGAGATAATGAAAAATGAAGAAAGAACTTAGCCTTAACATACCTGAAGTAGGTAAAACTCCGTATAATATTCCGTTGGAAACCTTCGTGGATTTGAACTTAGAATCCAAAACCGGATTAAGCTTCTGCGCAATTTGTTCCTGCTTCTTTAAAGCTTATGAACGAAAATTTTGGCCTAGGATGCGTTGAAAAGTTGAAACGCAATCTTTCTGAATGAAGCTTGTTTTAAAATTGAAATTTGCTTCTGTTTCATATGCTTTCTTGTTTGATCAGAGATAATACGTTTTTGGACTTTTAACAAGAAGCTTATACCATGTCTTACATGTAAGACTTAGTAGCCAAGTCTTGTTTGATAAGACTTTGCTGAAATCCTTATAAGTAGCCACTTGGCTTGAATGATTAAGAGTCATTCTTAGCCATTGTGGCTTTGTGCCACGTGGCTTTGGATTACTTAATAATTTTTGTCCATTTATTAGTTTAATCGGATAATGTCCTGCTACCCGATAATTAATTAATTACCCGCATAATTTAAAAATTACCACAAATTACTTGAAATTCTATTTATTTTTAAAATATTTCATATATACTTTATATATTATACTACCGTGGTCATGTGGTACCTTGCATGGTACTAGTTCATAATTATCGGTGTTAACGCTCTGCCCGTATTTTATCCCAAATCGACAACCTTCAACGAAACTCATTTTCTTTAATTCGTGTACACCTTTCCTTCATGGCACTTAGTTATTGCTTGTTATAAATAGCATAAATATGCTAACCTCCAGATAATCTCATCCCCGAGTCTACGTCAATTAACTGAAGACGAAATTTTAACGTAAGAAAACCGCGAGATGTAACACTCCTCGACCATGCACATCTTGTGTTATTACTTTGCTTAACACTGCTGCTGATCGTTGTTCTCCTTTAAAAATTCTGCCATTCCTCTCTTACCATATATGGTACAGACTACCTGCCAGAGTTAGCTTATACAATTCAGCTGTTGTGCTTCTCCCCTTATAGTATCTTTCTGCCCACTCAATCTCATTAGTCCATGACATTGTTTGCCTAGGAATCCCTTGCCATTGCAGCATTGCTATCCATTTCCTTGAAGAATAAGGACAGCTAAAGAACAAGTGATCAATGGTTTCCTCCTCAGTATTACACAATGAACAGGTTGCATCCTCCAGATAGCCCCATCCCCTTAACCTGTCTTTAGTCAGTAGCCTTCGATGTGCCGCTAGGAATACTGTAAAGATCCACTTTGGCAGTCCAGCGTTGTTGCACACCAGTTTCCTCCATGACACTCTAGCAAATTCACCCCGAACCCTCACATACATAATCTTAATGAAGAAACTTCTTATTCCCTCGACATACTCCTCTATATAGCCAGCTTCCTCAAATATTTTTTGGCTTTCAGTATCTTCTGCACCATCCATGAAGCTTGCTTTGGCTCAATGTTCCATAATGAATTTTGTTTCTTGTAGTACATACATTGCACCCACATCTTATCTTTTTTCTTGCATAGATTCCATAAGAGTTTGCATATAGCTGCCTTATTCCAGGCCTCAACATCAAGCAAGTTTAGGCCCCCTGCTGCTTTAGGCTTGCACAGACTCTCCCATGACAATAAGGCTTTCTTTGATACTTCCACACCCCCAGTCCATAGAAATGTTCGACACACTCTTTCAATGAGCTGAATCAGTTTTTCTGGCAACAAAAATACCTGAGACCAGAACACTTGAATAGAGAATAGCACACTTCTAATTAACTCAATTCTTCCTGCATAGGACAGGAGCTTGGATGTCCAATATTGAATTCTCCTAGTATCTTTTCAAGTAGAGGCTGACACTAAACCAATGTTAATCTTTTAGAGATGAGAGGTACTCCCAAGTATCTAACTGGTAATGTTCCTTTTACAAATCCTAGGGCTTGTAAAATCTCTTGTTGTTTGTCATTATGCACTCCACCAAAAAATATGGAGCTTTTATCAGCATTTGCCACTAACCCTGATGCCTTTGAAAAACTCTGAAAACATCGATATAGTAGCTGGACAGATATAACATCACCTCGACAGAACAACACCAAGTCATAAGCAAAGCTCAATTGAACTATGTTCATTTTGCCACATTTAGAATGGTAATTGAAGTTAGGGTCCCTCTTGAGTGTCTTCAGTAATCTTGTCAGATACTCCATAGCTAATACAAATAGGTAAGGAGATAAGTGATCTCCCTGTCTCAATCTTTTCTTAGCTTGGAATGGCCTAGTAGGTTGCCCATTAATGATGATGGAATATGAGACTGTTGTTACACATCTCATAATCCATTGCACAAATCTCCCTAGCAACTGCAAGCATGTCAACACCTGCTCTAAATAGCCCCATTCAACTGCGTCATGAGCCTTCTTCATATCTATTTTCATCATGCATCAAGGAGAAATGCCTTTTCTGCCATACCCTTTAACTAACTCATGACTAAGTATTATGTTGTCATTAATCAGTCTCCCAGGAACAAAAGTTGACTGGCTTTTATCCACCAATCCATCCATCGCTCATTGTAATTTATTAGTTAGTACCTTAGATATAAGTTTGTATAGTAGTGTGCAACAAGATATTGGCATGTACTCAGTAATTTTAGAAGGATTTTTCACCTTAGGTACAAGTGTTACTGTTGTACAATTTATAGGCTGGTACATAGTTGAATAATGATATAAATTATTCATGTAATTTCATATGTAAAACATAAGTTTTTAAAATAAAATATGAATAATAATATCCTATCCTCGCATATTTTCTAACATTTCTTGTAGGAAAAAGAAATTATGAAAAAGAAGGAAAGAAGCTAAAAGACAAGAGAATGAAGCAAAGCCACAGTTGCACACTTCATGTTCATATTCGCAAATGTGGAATATACATATGGGCTTATGGAAAGAGACAATTAGAGATGAAGGAGCATATTTGTATATGTGGAATCTATATACGCAAAGTCACATTCGCATACATGAAAACTACATTTGCAGGTCTAACCCGTGAAGTCATGAATGGAAGCAAAAGAGTCATATATGCATGTGTGGAATCTATACTTGCAAAGGTCAGATTCACATACATGGAACCTACATTTGCAAGTCTAACCCATGAAGTCATGAATGGAAGCAAAAGAGTTATAGATGCATATGTGGAATCTATATACACAAAGGTCACATTTGCATATATGGAACCTACATTTGCAAATCTAACCCATGAAGTCAAGAACGGAAGCAAAAGAGTCATTTATGCATGTGTGGAATCTATATATGCAAAGGTCACATTTGCATACATGGAACCTACGTTTGCAAAACTAACTCATAAGTCAAGAGTGAAGCACAAGTCCTATAGTTGCATATATGGAATCTACATACACAAAGGTCATATCACATACATGGATTTCATATTCGCAAAAGTGGAACATGACAAAAGCTACTCATCTTTTCCTATAAATAGCAAGCTATCTTTGTATAAGAGATTTAATCTTTGTAGACAAGAACTAGTCTTGGTCTTCTTTCTTAGTAGTAAAAATATTTCCTTAGTCTTTTAAATATTTCTAGTCTTATAAATATCTTTTTTATCTTTTCTTACTCCATAATGGAGTAATTTCTTTTTGTTGGGATAGTTGGTGAAACTTGATATATTTTATAATACTATCTTAGTTTTTATATATTCTTGGCTTGAAACTTTTTATTTACATTTCATACTGTGTTGAAATGATGGTTTTTAATTACTCTATCATCACAACTACATATTTTATCTCTAAGTTATTCATATATTAATTTTGTAATTCTCGCGGAGCAAAATTAATATATAATAACTGATAAATATAATAGTAGTGTGAAAGTAATTTTTCAGTAAACTTAGTCAGTAATCTTGCTTGCCTCAGTTTTAATTCTCACAGAGAAATTGTTGTAGGCAAGATTATTCATCCTTAGTAAAAATATTCTCACGAAGTTTTTACTTTCTTTTAGCACAATTCAAGCAAGAAAAATATTTTGGTTGAAACGTCACTAGTCTTAAATTGATTAATTAACATAATTCTCACGGAGTGTTATTAATTGGTTATTTCTTAGTGAGCCAAATATAATTGTATTAGAAATAAGCAATTATTCTTTAGAGAAATAAATATAAAAATTGAGATTTTATTATAGTAATATTATCAAGTGAATTCAATGATTCCCAACTCTTTTTTAAATTATAAATCTTCCAAAATTATTTGTTTTGACTTTAAGTTAATTTTACTAAGTTTTAAACCTCACTCACGTTTCATCAATTTGATTCTCTCAAATGGTAGTTAAAATATTACTAATATGTAGCATAGATTATCCAGTATCTGTGGGACAATATCTTAAACTATATTAGAATTTGAGAGAGTACGAGCAGGAAATTCCAATACACATTGGCTTCGTCAGTTATCGGGTAATAGTTGGTGAACGACTTGAAATTTTATAAATTAACGGCTTAATAGTTATTTTCTTATCGAATAAACCGTTAACTCATTAATAATTTTTATAATTACACTTTTATCCCTATGTAAATAAAGTATTACTTGAAACCCTAAATCTCTAATTTCTCAATTCTNTATTATTATTATTATTATTATTATTATTATTATTATTATTATTATTATTGTTTCTGTTAGTATTTTCACTATCTATTAATAAGTACTTCTTCCTACTACTTTTATTATTATCTTTCCTTTATTATATTTAGTATAATATTACTAGTACTTTTACCTATAAATACTATTCTAACTTTATTTCTGTAACGACCGGGCCGATCGTTTCATGAGTTACCGCTCCGTTTTCTCCTTTTTTGCTTCTTTATGCTTTGTTCATCTGTGTTATATGGTATGGGCTTGGTTGGTTCGAGTTGGGAAGGGTTTTGGAAAGGTTTGAGACACTTAGTCTCTTTTGAGTAAGCTTAAGTTGGAAAAGTCAACCGGATGTTGACATATGTGAAGTAGGTCTCGGATGTAAATTCCGATGGTTCGAATAGATTCATGAGGTGATTTGGGAATTAGGAGCGCGATCAAAATGTGTTTTGAAGGTCCGGTGTAGATTTAGGCTTGAATTGACGAAATTGGAATTTTGGCGTTTTGTAGTTGGTAGCGGAGATTTTGATATAGGGGTCGGAATGGAATTCCGAAAATTAGAATAGGTTTGTTGTATCATTTATGACGTGTGTACAAAATTTCAGGTCATTCAGACGAGGTTTGATAGGCTTTTTGATCAAAAGCGAAATTCGGAAGTTTTTGGAACCTTAGGCTTGAATCCAATGTTATTTTGTTGATTTGATGTTGTTTTAGGTGTTTCGAAGATTGGTATAAGTTTGGATAGTGGTATATGACTTGTTCGTGCTTTTGGTTGAGGTCCCGGGGGCCTCGGGGTGATTTTGGATGGTTGACGGGAAGTGGAGAGTTGGAATTGTGCAGTTGAAGCTGCTGATTTTGCTGTCATAACCGCACCAGCGGATTGGGGACCGCAGGTGCGGGATCGCAGAAGCGAAAGGAAAGGCGCAGATGCGGAATTGGGTGAGAAGAGCTGAAGGTGCAGGTGCAGAAGTTTGGTCGCACCTGCGAGACCACAGGTGCGGTATTTCATGCGCACGTGCGGATTTGAGGTTTTAAGTGGAAACCGCAGAAGCAGTCGTTTGGCCGCAGAAGCGGCTATGCAGGAGCGGAAAATGGGCTGCAGGTGCGGAAACCTAGGCCAGAAAGTATATAAGTCCTCCTTCGCAAAATTTTTGGTTATTCCACCATTTTTACATACGGGTTTGATCTTGAGGGAGCATTTTGAAGAGGGATTTCAAGGGGATTTCGTGGAGGTAAGGTTTTTGGACCCTAAACTTGTTTCTATGATGGTTTTTAACTGTTTAAGCTTGAAATTTGTGGTAATTAGTGGTTAAAATTGGGGGTTTAGGGCTTGGAAATTGGAGACCTAAATTTAGGAATTTGAGGGGCCATTTGTGGTTGGATTTTGGCATTCTTGGTATGCAAGGACTCGTGGGAGGATAAGGATTCTATTGACGTGATTTTTATCGGATTGCGAGACGTGGGCCCAAGGGTCGGGTTTGGCCAATTTCGGGATTTGTGTTGTAATTTGGTTATTTTCGCACGGGCTTCGTTCCCTTAGCATATTCTAATGTTATGATTCTGATTTTGGGTAGGTTCGACGCGGGTTGAGTCCGAGTCGAGAGGCAAGGGCATCGCGTAGTAGTATTTCATCCGGTTTGAGGTAAGTAACCATTGCACATCTGGACCTGAGGGTATGCAACCCCGATAATTCGTATGGTTTTGATAAATGAGGTAACACA